TGGTGCTGGTGCTGCTGCTGCTGGTGTTGGTCAACACGTGAATTGCACTGGCCAGGTTTTGCACCGGTCGTTTGCCGCAATGTGCTAGGCCGATACGTGGAGCCTTGGCGAAAATAACACCGACTGATGTTTAAGTACCTCTGGTGGAGGCGACGGTGGAGGGGAGCGCAGCAGCTTTCTCTCCTAGACCCGGTGTGCGCAGACGGGTATGTCCAACAGCTGCAAAGTCTGCCGCATAAGCTGCAGTCCCGCCTTCGGGACCTTAGATGATCTGCCTGAATTTGAGTCGCGACAACTCGACACAAAACTCAAGTTCCTCAGGTGCTCGCCGAGGCGGTTTGCTGGTGCCCCAAGAAGCCATGATTCAAGCAGCTGTCAGTCGCACATGCTCGTTTAGATCTTAAGGCACATGTCCCACTCGCGCAGTTGATTTTGCAACTGGCTGGAGATTCAAGCGCATGACACGGGTCGATAACACGAGCATCCTTCAGCATCTCTTCTATGTGCACCGCAAGCCCAACCGTGAATTATCGATTGATTATAAGTTGCAATGTTTAAAAATTCTTTAATTAATCTCTCGGCGTGAGATCTGTCCCAGCCGAGCTTGTCGTTGGGGTCGCCACAATGTTTACTCTTGGGTTCTTGTCGCAGCAAGATTGTGAAGCAGTAAGAAATGGCCTCGTCACACCTGCTTGAACAAGTGGACAGAAGGTACGAAGGCGTTTGGCAGGGGCAGATCCTCAAGGACAGCTGCTTTTGCACATCCGGGAGTAGTCGGCTCCCACGAATGACACTCAAAAGGCGCGGTGCCTCGCCGGCCCGGCATTAAGCTGGCCGAAACCGGAGGCTCGGAATTCACTTTTGACGGCCGGTCTATGCTTTAAACTTGAAGCTTCGAAAAGCGGGGTGATATCCGAATTGAACACGACAGGCCTAAGGCACGCCTGGATTTGGAGCCTTTGCTGGCAACATGCAGTAAGTGTAGTAGTGCCCGTGGTAGTTTTCGTCATCGTGGTGCTGCTCGAGTCCCTCATGAACTTTTTGGCCAAAATACGAGCTGCAATGTTTACCTTATGCATTCATTCGTTCATACATATACACACAGATGCGCACACACGCACACATAGATAGCGATATAAACAGACAGACAAGCATGTATATGTAAGAGTGCCTGTCCGTATTGGTATCCCATCGGCAGTGACAGGTCCCTCTCCGTCTGGCGCCGTCGGGAAAGCTCGGAGACTGGTTGGAGGGACAGGAGGCAGCTGCTGCTTGGTGGAAGAATGATTACTATCGGGACCAGCTGATGTTAAGGGCCTTCTGAGCTTTCCCCTGCACCATTTGAAGGCTTCGTGCTATTCTAGAGTGCAGAGTTGTTGTGAGACTGACTCCCTGTGAGACTGAGGTTGGAAGCGCACTCGATCTGCAACTTGTGCTTCGTTTGGCGGCCATGAGTTCGAACGGTACACAGGCTTGAACATGAAGGGTGTTGCCCGTTCTTTGGACCTTCACTGGTGTGCCAGGTTGCATGGTCGTTGCCGTCAGAAACAAAGGAAGCTTTCATCGGTGGGAAGAACTGTGACATCTTCTACCTTTCCGGGATCCTCTCGGCGGAGGACTGTGCAAAGCTGGTGGCCATGGCGCTTTGTTTCCAGCAGCCCACTGCCAAACGACAGCCAGCCACCGCTGTGCCGCTCCCTGGCCACTGTCGCGTGCCCGAGGCCGTGGAGACGCGATTGAGATCGGTGATGGCGACATGTACAGGAGAAGCGGCAGAAGATGGTTCCATGTTCGACATGACTGACACATCAGAGGTAGAAGCTGCACTCGTTTGGGAAGAGGCAGAGTCTCGGGGACTTCGCGGCAGTCGATGGACTTCGGCTGGCATTGAGGTTGCAGTCCGGCTCACTGCGTGGCTTTCTCCCACAACTGGCGGCGAGATTGTTTTTCCTGATGCAGGAGTGTCTGGATTGAAGATATATTCATATCATTGTGACGTGCTGGGCCAGCCTTGAATCCAAGCCCCAACCCCAAAGTTTCAAAAGTAGATCGACACCAGCAAACGATCTTCTTTGAGCTGAGTTTTGGTTTTAACGCGAGTATTTTTGGGTCCCAATGCTGTCAAGCCTGTGTCGTGTATGCGCATCCTGGTTCTGAAGCAGATGCTCCTCCCACGCACGGATGCACCCGAACAGAGATGCCCTTCGAACTTAAGATCCTTGACTTCACCAAGGTTTTATTGGACACGGACCAGGATCTGATGGAGAGCGAAGCTTCGGAGCGAGTGCTGCAGCCGCTGCCAGGCAGCGTGGTCGTCGTGACCCAGCATGAGAGTTGGGAGCGGGGCTCTTCCTTTTTTCTGGACAGGACTCCAGGTTTTTTGGGTTACACTTGGAAATGATTTGCAGAGTAGTCGAGATTCCCACCTCGTCCATGAAGCAGCTGAGACTGTCACAAGCTATGCGGCATGCTTGCATCATCAGGTCGTCTTCAAGTCCCAGGAAGGGTGCTGTCAGCTTCGACGTCCAGCATCCCATGGCCAGTGGACACTGCAAAAGCTTTGGAAGCACTGCTCGAAAGGAAAAGGTAGTGATTTTGGTAGATGTTGCTTCAACTGTAGGTTGGGAGAGGAGACCAACGTGGGATCCATGCAGTGAGTTGCAATATGTACACGTTGCACTGGTTCGCCTCATGCTGGCCTATGCTGTCTTTTGCTCAAGCTAAAGTCGAGGTGGGGCAATGATAGTAGTTTGAGGGCCGGTTGCTTCCCGTGACAGCAGGCTGACAGACCTGCATGCGAAGGTAAACTGGGAATTTTTGCAGATTACATGACGACCTTTCCTGCACAGGTCACTGGGCAGTCGGAAACCCCCTAATGGCACAGATATTGTCCGGCCCTCGCCAAGTGATCCGCGCAGTGTGCCTGCCCTTCACTCTCGGCCTTGTAGCTCTTGCCGAGGCGCCAGCAGTACTTGGGCCTCTTCCTCTTGCTGCTTGTTGCTTGCTTGGCCCCGGGCGCAGAGGCTGCAATCACCTGCGTGAAGGCACGGCTCTCTGCAGCAAAGATCCCCACCACATCGCGAATGCCACAGCAGAAGCGCACACAGCCTTCGTACGGGGTTTTGAAGAGTTAGTTTCGCTCGTCTACCCAGCAGTCTGACCCATACCCCATTAGGTAGCGACAGCCTGATGCTGTGCTAAAGCCAGCTTTGCATCCCGCGCCAGATAAAGCGCTGGATTGAATACGTGGCCATTTGCTGCTGCACCTGTGCGTGCCAGCCTGAGAACTGACCCAGCAGCGACGTATAGCAGGATCAACGGTGTGATCGAAGGAATGATTGAACCCGCCGTCTGTGCTGATCCCATTCCGCTCTCAGGTCTATCATGTGTTCTGTGCTGGTGCTGTTCTTCTTGACCAACAAAACAGGCGGCGAAGACGCTGGTCCTTGGGAAGGCCTCCCGTTTCCAACCGACGAATCACCAGGGGGAAAGCCCAACCTAAACCTTGGGCCCTCACGGTTGACCCTAGCACTTCGCGAGCAGGCCTGACCGTTTGATCGGCAACTAGCATAGGGCCATATAGGGTGATATAGTACAGTATAGTATCATAGAATGCAGCCCGTGCCCTGGAAGAATGGGAAGCTCCGAACGAGACCAACATGACAGCGGGCGGCGCTGCACGCCGACTTTGGATCATGCGACCTGGCAGAGCTAGGACTCGGAGCGTAAATTCCACACCCCCCCCACTTTCCGCGTTGCAAAACACACTGACTCCTGACTGATGTCATGGATGTGATTTGATCCTAAATCGAACTGGCAGCCACTCTTGAAGACACCGTTTGGCAACTCGGGCACCATGAAACAATCAGGGCTCTAGGTGGCCACGTGGGGCAATGGATCTGAAAGTTATGACAGCCTATAAAACTAAGAGGGCTGTAGGCGGGCAGTGTGACGAGTTGCCCCATCCAACCAAACCGAGGAGGTTGAGATATGCCAACATTTTGTTGGCAAAACCTTAACCTCCTCGGTTTGGTTAGATGTGGCAACTCGTCAAAAACTAAAACGTGCTTTTGGATTAGAAAAGGAGTTATGTGGAACTTGGATTGCCAAGGCTGCCACATGAGCTGAGACGTACCTTGCGACGACTGTAGACACTGCGAAGCAGAGGTCTAGAGGGGACTGGGGTCGAGCACTGGCCGTAACCAGTGACAAAGCGGCTGCCGTGATTTTCACTGTTCGGGAGCATCGGCTGCTTCAAGTGGACTTTCAGTACACGCCGCGTGCTTCAAGACGGAGCTCATCGATGCCAATGACCGCAGCATTTGGCTCAAACAGAGAACTGAGCGTGGGAGACGCAGAGAGGCACACTGGAGCTGCACGTGCAATGCTTCTTTCGGATTGGGCTGCGCCGTGTTGGCAGAATTCACCGGTTATCAACAGGTTGTGTAGCACAACTGAGGGGCACCGCTTTTACGCCTAGGTGTCATCATAGCCAAGTCAGCTGGGGTTCAGTTTTTTCACACGAGTCTTGCTGCGAACGGCCAGGAGAGCTGCATGACAGTCAGCATGTCTGCAAGTGCGAAGGGCTCAGACAGTACTAGTGCAGCGGCTGCTGGGGTTCTGCTGTGGAGTTGAGACGTTGGGACGACTCTGAAAGTAAGACGCTAAAACCAAGCCGTTGGATTGTTGGATTGTCCGTACATCTGCTGACTAGATCTCGAGGCGCTCTACAGCCGATTCAGGCGCACGATCCCGCTCTTATCGATACATATGCAAAGTAGATCGATGCTGTTCTGTGCCAGGGGGCTCGATGCCAACAAAGATGGACTTTTGGAATGGGCCCGAGCCCCAACGGAGACGTTGCCCTCTGAAGATCTTCCTTTCTGAGGTGGAGTGAAACTCTCACCTAACATAGGCCGTTCGTAGCACATCTTTTTGTGGCGACCGCCACCAGGAGGAGTTCTATGAGTGGATCTCCGAGGACGACTGCGACATGACACGAGGAAAGGACGGAGCCCCAGCATCAGCCAAGCATAAGCACAAGCACCATCTGCAGATGGTGCGAGCTTCAATTCGAAAATGTAAGGGCAGGGTTGGTTTTGGTGGAGATGGCACATGCGCCATGCAGCATTGCCCGCAAAGCGAAGGCTGAGCAGATCTTCCAAAAGGTCGACAGCGACGGCGACGGGAAGGTAGGAATGTGCGATGACAGAAGCCTACTAAGACCCTACCTGCCACATCTGCGCGACCATACAGCACTCGTTTCAAGCCGCCTTTATCTGTTGCAGTTGTCCTTCGGCGAGCTGCGGCCTGAGGCGATTCGTTAATCCTTTTGGCAGCGCCGTACCGGAAGTCAGAAACCCGCGTGTTTTTGTCTCCTGCACTAAGCCTAGGTTCGTGAAATGTTGCAAAGACTTCATGGGCATCCAGCTTCTTGAACCCAAGCAAGAAGAGCCGGCGATGGACTCAGAACGCTTCGGCAGCTTCTGCGCGCTTCCGAAGACCACCGGTGCCAGTTTAGTTTCTGAAGCTGCTGCCATGCCTTCGCAAGCTAACTCTGAAGGCTCCTCCTGCCCCAGCTGCCCCTGCAGAGCAGGCAGGGCTGTTTGCAGTGGTATCTTGAGGCCGACACCAAGGCTGTAGATTTGTGAGGAGACCTTTTCAGGTTGCGTGTGAGGTGCCAGATAATGGTGCCACTGCTGTTTACAGGCTGAACAGCTCGAGCAGACCATCCAGCCGGTCCAGCCCCAAAAGGCGGTTGAGGACGGCCTGCTGTGTTCTGCGGCAGAAAAGCTGGAATGATATTACCAGGTGGTGTTGTTTTCCGTATTTCAGGACTAGTGGAATAGCGCTCCGCAATGCGTTTGTAGGACATTTTCCTTGCTGCACTGGGCAAGGAAGTCCATGCACCGGTGAAAGAAGCGGTTGTGCCGAGGAAGAAGGCATCTTCGGGAACTGGATGCCAATGAGGATGAGTAGACTAGACCACAGTTCGCAAATGCTGAAGGGAACGCACGTTTTTTCAGTCAGGCAGGCAGTAGTGAGGAAGCCTGCGAGGAACCTCGTATGAAATTGCAATTCGCAGCAGGGTGTTTTCTCGCTTGCGCCGTGCCATTTCTGGCCGAGTGGAAGAGTGAACCGGTCGGGTGCGGGGATACTATCCTCGACCCAAGCGAGATGGACGAGACCAGCAAACCATTCTTAATAAACTGTGTGACCGGCGGCTAAGAAATACTGCGGCCGTAGCAGTAGCAGCAGTAGTAGCAGTAGCAGTAGTCGTAGCAGCAGCTCAAACTCAGCGGCGTTCGTAGTCGTAGTCCTAGTTAGCTAGTCGTGGCAACAGTCTCCTAGACTCAACCATGCCGATAATCATTCTGTGCTTCTCCTAGTCTTCATGAGGTGTCTGTCTAGCAGCTGTAGCCTATCACAGCAACAGCACAAAACCAACGTCAAGTGATGCTCTTGGTCCGAACAGTGACCGGGCGCACGTTGACAGCAAAATAAAGCAAGCACCCAGGAAGGTTTCAAGCCCCAGAGGCTTAATACTGGTATTACTGGTAAAGCCCACTTCAGTTCGGCCCTCCTCTAGCTTCAAGCATCCCGTGGAGGCAGCGGACAACGCGCCCCGGAAGACCGCTACTACGGAGGGTGCCATTGTGTCCCGCCGGGCCGGGCGCAAAGGAGTGTGTCGGGTTTGGGTTTCTACGCAGAATCGGTGTCGGATTCCGTGGATATTTTTTCAGGGAGCCAGACGAGGACTCCCTGATTTCAGGCAGTTTCGTTTGATCCTCACGGGTGCAGATAGCTCAGCGTCCTAGCTTTCTGGTTTGAGTCCGGCANNGAAGCATCTTTGCAGGCTGGATGATTAGAAGCAAGTATTCAGATTCTGTGGTGCATGTTGCGTTCATTTGAGGGCTCCGTGCCGTTCGATTCGTCGAAGATAAGAACGCTTGGGCCACTTTTCACCCTTGGTATCGAGGCACTTGACTCGCCTGACGTGCTGGAATTGGAGCATTGAGATCCCGAAACCGAGGCAGGGAGCCTTCCGAACCTGCTGACGAGGCACGGGAGCCTTGGCATTCTTGATCTGCGCAGCTTTGCGCGATCCTTCCGCAGCTGAAAGCAAGAAGCGACACAA